AGATTTTATAATATTTATCTTATTCTGTTACTATTATTTATTGACAACTAAAAAAGACATAAATTCGACAGCTACAATAGTTAAATATCGTAAAATATTATATTAGATGATACGCATAGCTTTAGTTGTTTATTTCGTTACTTAAAATAATGTCGATTAAGTGTAAAAATAACTTTTTAAATTTAATAATTTATTTATAAAGTTTTCTTAATCAAATAAAAATAAAAGCCGTCGGTTTTATCGTTAAAAAAATAATGATAATTTCAAAGTTTTATTCAGATGTTGAGACGCATAAAATGAAATTAATCTCAATAGAAGGTTGCCTAAGGCAAGAAGAAGTTGGGCGTGGGAGCAAACGCACTTGTGATAGAAGAAAAAGGTATATGTCCGGAAACTGTTAAGGTACCATTTATTTAACCATAGGAAAACAAAGTTATGACCGAATAAATTATACACGACCTTGAATTTATTAATTCAAACAAATTTTGTCGAATCATTTTTTTTTAAATTTAACCCCAAAATAATAATATTATTATTTGTTGACAGTTTAAAAAAATACATTCACTATTAAATGTATATTTGGGTCCAACCCACTCGTTATAGCGTAACAGGACAATATTCAGTTTTAAAAGCATTGACATAGACAAAATAAACATTTCCTATCATTTGACATTTTTAGAAATTTACCTCACACAGCGATTAATAAATGTAAGTAAAAAACTTATACTGGATTGCACAAAAAACATTATTGGTTTTATAACCGGGTTTGAGCTAATCAATAATGTCCATTGATGGTTTAAGATCTATGGAATCAATTAAGTTTTGTGCAACCCAACACACACATTTTTTCGTTAAGGTTTGTTTCCGAATATATCATGAATACTTATTTGTTTTTTTTTTGTGCTTTCAATAATAATTCAAGTATACTTCTCAAAATTTATAATATTTAGAAAATATTTGATTTCCTGCCAAAGTACGGATTTTCAATTGATTTCCAAAAAGTAAATAGTTAACACTTACACATAACTTTACCCAAATGTAATATGAACTCGTGCGGTATGTTACTTCACAAAAAGCCGGGAAATTATATTATGTGCCTAATTAAATAGTCACAGGACTCGCGTCATGTTTACTCCGAGACACAAGAGCACTCGTTCAAATGTGTTTCTATTATTTTTGCCTCTCGTTGTATAGAATCGTTATAAAAAACGGTTAGGCCACACACGCACGTCTTGCGCGTGTGGGAAATAACATTATTTTACCATCTTCGGTTGTTTTTATAGCTAAAGACGAGGCACATAAACTCATTGGCGGGGTATGCGTGGCCAAATATCACGCAGCGGGATTTGCATAAAACGACACCTTCTGATCTAACATGTACGCAGTATGATCTTATATCTATTTCTCAGTATGTCTTCGTCCTTTAAATGACTTCCAAAACAATATGGCTATTCTGTATTACAATACAGGTGAGTCGGTGAACGATAGTCGTGTCCGCCATAAGGAAAGAGCCGAAACCGTAGCTGACCACACGATAACGTGTAGTAATTTACAAAGACTGACATAATTCCTGGGGTCCATTGCCCTGTCATAAGGATAATATACCATGATCCTACCTGCCACTGAGGCTACTACCGAGAGGCCGGTTCTATAGCCGTGACCCTCGCCGTTGACCCGAACAACCGTCCATTTTATTATGATAATACATTTGTCAAAGTATGAAAAATTCAAAATACTATTTTCGCATGAGTACGGCAATAAATTATGTTTTTTTTTTTTTGCTGGTATAGGTATATTTTTTATGCTGCATTGCGTTATGCGAATTGAGTGCACGAATATATATGCTTTCAAACACACTAATAACGCACTCTTGATAGTATATGTAGTACAATATTGTTAGCATAATTTTTTGGTTTTAGGAACAAAAACCGCTCTAAACGTGTTTTATAATAAAAAAAATGTATATATATTATTGGTGCTATTGCCATTTGTCAGCAGACAACATGTTTAACAGGCCAGTAAAGGTGTCACTGTAATATTGAGGTTAAAGAGAGGAACCATGCAAAAATAAAAAAAGTGGATAACTTAACTAAAGTGCATAATTACTATGCTACAAAACGCCGGTAAATGTACAAAATAAATGTCTATAATTTGACTAAATTCAACTTTTTTTTGTCCCTTAACGCTTTTCTGCCCGTTAAAATTCCCTTTCCTCTTTTCATAAAATATCTGCAATCATCTATTCGATCTCGCCTATTGTTTGCTGTTGGCGCAACTTACAGGTAACAACTTAGTCCATCTCAAGCCTCATTTTAGCTCTTTTCGCTAGTTTAGATTTCAAATACCATACTGCATCGACGGCCTTACTAAAAACAGTGTTGTTTTTCAATCAAATAAGAAATACTACAAGAACACAATATTGTTATTCAACGACAAAAACTTAATATATATATATTCGGTATTTATTCGGTCGTAGAACATTTTAATATAGTGAAGTCAACACACGGAAGTCGACGAGATTATATATAAATAATAATGTTGTTTGTAATGCGCATACATATAAAAACCAGATAGTGTTATTATATTATGTCGAGTAGTTCGCTTTACATTTTGTGTGAATTTGATGTAATATTTTTTTTGCCGCGTGGAAAAATTACCATGATGCATTCGAATAATATCATACAACTTTTTACCAAGTATGCATAGCAATCGTCTTGAGATTAGAATGCCGCGTTTAATAAAACGGCCAACGAAGTAACGACATCACGTACCATAATGCGTTCGTCGTTATATGCACCAGAGAATACGGGACCAACAATGTTTTCCCCGTTGGTTTTTAAACAGCGCGTGATAGTTATACGAAATGAATATATACTTTGGACGAAGAACAGTTTTATTAAAAACAAAGTAAAATAAATCAATTCCTTTACCGACGTTTCGGTGATCACAGTAAGGATTTGGCGACTATAAATTTAAAACCATCATAAATAGTTCAACTTTTGATAATTGCATGGGCTGGGCGATTTATATTTTAAAATCGAAACGGTTATATAAAACATTCAACTCAAATAGGGGCCTACGAGTAATTAAACACGAATTTCTAAATAAACCAAATAGCAGTTATTTTTTAAAATTTTTAAAAATGTTGTATTTTTTTATATTTTAGTATTACTTACCATACGTCTAATCTTTAACATATAGTTTTACAAATAGTATATGTATGCAATGTTACTTGATTATTTTTTTTTCATTATGACTTAAATTACATAAAAAAGATAAAAAACTAAACTTGCCGCCATTTAACATTTCATGGACGATATCATATTATATTCACAAAGAATCAATAGAGGTTACCAATCAAATATAACAAATCGCCTTCCTGGTAGTCTTACAAAATACGTCCACTCAGACAAGTAAACAAATATTTATCAGCATTCAGCTAAAATTAAAAGAAGTAAAAGTATGTTCTCGATATACTAATTATATTACATTACATTTTAATTTATAAATAGTTTTATAGCGTAATCAGTATAAGAATATATTATATTAGATTATAAAAAGTAGGATATTTATCATCTGACCAATATTTATACTGTAATGATAATCAAACTTGATTGATAACTAAGCGTTACAAAAAATATTTTCAAATTTCGATAAAAATTGAATATGTCCGTCTGTCTTCCATTTTCCTTTTCAATAAGCACGATCACTGGGAAAGCTGTAGCAGAAATATAAAATATATTTTGCTCGACGCTTATTTTCGAATAATTAAAAACTGCATTCGACTATTTAATATATGAAGAGCTAGCCGGGTCGTATATTAAAATAGATGGATTATGAGAAACATTGATGGATAGATTTGTATACAATATGCAAACCTCATCTCCTCAAACATTTCACAGTTATAAAACGCCGTATATCAAGATAATACTAATAGTACTGTCATAAAAAAATATCCCTCTCGTATCTACGCAATGAAGCCAAAATGCGATTAATCTGAACGAATACTTATGTCGCCGTCGATAAAAATGATAAAACAATTTTTTTTTCACTGTCGTCAATAATAATTTAAATTATTCGCATTAAGATGTATCACGGGGCACTGAGCAAGTAAAATGAAGTGTCGGAGAGTCGATTTTTATACATAAAAATAAACATTATCGGTTTCAACTTTTGAAAAAAAATATCAACGTCAAAAGTTGCACATTTAATAAAAATACAGCCATTTTTCAGAGCTAAACACAATATATGCAATTTATCATTGTCCGCAGGCATTTATTCAAATGACACTAGATATAGTAAAGAATAGAAACTGGAAACTGAACTTCTTTTATTTCAGTTTTATCAACAACAAAAAAACCGGCAGCAATCAACAATACCATGTTTTTCTCTCATAATAAATGTTTAAAATTTGTTTTAAATAATAATAACGTGTATGTCATGAGTTGAGTAACTACCCATCAACCATATCATGTACATGATAATAAATTACTGTTCAGTTTTTTAATAATAAAATAATCATTTTAAAAACAAAAAAATTGTTTTAATTAAATTATATATTTTGCTATTTTGTTATAACTATAATCAATGAGTTGCACAAACCATTTCACGTTTTAAAAAAATTATAGATTTAGAATTAATTGTATACTCTAAACTATCACTGTGAATAAAATTGTCTTTAATAGTATTGAAGTAACTAATTTGTTTTTGCTAATAACTAGATTTAGTTTTTATAATAACATTCAACATTAATAAACTAATAAATTGACTTAATACCATGAACATATTATTTCTTAAAAATTGTTTTCATATGAAATGTTTTATAATTGTCGTTATTAAAACAATCTAACTAAATGCAGTTACTTTTATGTTGAAGTAGTTACATTTGTAATATTGTTGATGCTCGTAGTATTTAAACAGATTGATTATAGAATAATACATTATATATTATAGCGGTTATAATATATAATATTAAAGGCATAAGTGTTGTTTGTACTCACGTGTATGATGTAGTTGTAAAAAAAATCTGAAACAATCTGAAAAAAAAAATATCCACGTTAATTATAAAATAACTTTAATGGTCTATAAAATGTAAAACATATTTGGTATAATAAAAATATCGCCGTAGTGTGATTCATGTTTAAAACAAAAAATGTGTTCCCACAATTACATGACGTATAAAAAAATTGTATGTCGCGGTATAACACCAAAGGTAGCTCATACTATAACTTATTTTCATTTTTAGTCGAGGTTTTATTAAATAATAAATATGTTGGCGGCACAAACGACTGCGAATTCTAAGTATTAAAGCATTAAAACGAATTTAAAGTTTATTTTACTTACTGCTGGCACACCAGCCTTGCCCATGAAAGACTATATCGAAGGGATAAGGATTAAAAAAAGTTAGAAAATAAATGTGCACAGCGTTAACGTTAAATTAAAGAACTTGGTCAGACGTGAATTGAATAGTCGGTTGACTACTTTGAACACCGCAGTTTTCGACGTTACAATTTACATGGAGTACAGTTTCTGCAAAATTTTGGTGATACTCAGAACGATGTTGGTATAGTGTGTGTAATAATTACTACATTTTTAAGCAAAGCTTTACTTTGCGTTGCATTTAATTGTATACGATCATTAAACATTTCTGCCGTTCAGTTTATTAAGAGTGACATATGTGCTTGTAACTTTGATATTTTTTAATATAGGTAGAAATTGATGTCGTATGAATGTAATCATAAATTATATCAAATATTCATTATACACCGGAGGTACGTATACACACTAAGTTAAGAAATGGTATCTACATTATAATAATGTTTAACTTTAAATGGTTAGCCAGAGTCGTTCTGAAATGCTGATGCTATCATATTTAAAAGTAAATAGTTAATATGATATTTTTGGAGGTAGGGTTAAAAGTAATTTGAAATTGTTTTAAAGAAAGAAATGTGGATTGATAGAATATTACAATTTAGTATTGTAAATTTTTTATAAAAACAATTGAATTTCAAAGTGTTGCAGAGTTAAAACTTAAATTGTAAAGTTAGTTAAGTTTTTTGGGACTTATTATTAATTCTTAAAATATTAGTTAAATTTAAAAAATGCGCAAAATGAGAAAAAATTAATGTAAAAATCACTTATATAACTTTGTACTTATACGATCAACGATGAATATTTATTAACGAAAACATATTAGCATGGAACATGCTTTAGTCTTGACTGACCCCCCAGCCTTTCGGGAAACAACACTAAATTGCGATATTAATAAGTAGCGCGCCTACTTGAAACGTATAATAACATATAAGATGCCATCGAAATAATAACGAGCCGGCGTGGTCATGCAAACGTTTATCCCGAGCATATAATTAAGACTATACTATCATCATAATTCCCAAGGAGATTATAGATCAGAAATAATCACTATCCTGGAGTCAGCAGGCTAAAGCATGTTTCATATTGTTTGATAATTTTAGCCGTTAGACTTTAAGTAGACTGTAACTTTCTTAAGTTTTTTATTCTATTCATTATAAAACTAAATTTATTTATCGTTATTTTTTATTATCCAATAAAATTTGCTCGACGCCGTTTGAATTCAAAGTAAGTATGTACGTATGTTGTCATAATATATGATTTTGCATATCATAGTTGAATCGCCTATATCCGCCGATGCGGAATTGGCGTTTTGGAGCCGCGGATAAGGTAACACGCAGCCGTAAAATAAGCGTCAAAGAGAATAAAATATTATATTATATCATGATATTATAGATCGCGGAATATACTTTAAGACACCGAGGTACTTATCCGTTGAATTAGGGCATAAAAAAAAATATTTTATATATATATATATATATATATATATCACATGATTAATTATTTCTTTGGCTGGCACGTGTATAGTTGCGGTAAGGAGATTCTGCAGGCGGCAGCGGCAGAAGCGGCGCATTATAATTTATAAACGAGAGCGCATCAGTGAGCGTGCAAACGAAAAACACCCAGCTTTCTGATTTACATCCCCGGACAACCACTCATAAATCCACAAGGCCGCCTAGCATAACGGTGCTTTACCCAATTTACCGAAATTCCACCTCTCCCGTCAGAAGACTTACCATGTATATGTGTATGCGTTTGTTTGTCTATCTCCCCGGTCCTTTCGGCTCTACGACCGCGTTATTTATAGCGTCAGCATTATTTTTATACCAGTTATATTTTGTTGCTCGAAAAACCAGTGGAATAAATGCACACCGCTTGGAGACCGCGTGCAAGCTTTATATTTCTGGCCGAATTACAAAAACCACGCGAAATGTCCCCCCAATACTTATATATATATATACTAATGTTTGGCCGAATATTATTATTATTATTATAAATTCGAACGCCGAACCCAACGGAATCCTAGTTTCGAGCTTTGCCAAGTGAGTATAATTTAATCAACGCTCTCTTTATGGTTTTATTATTGCTTGATATACACACAACGCGCGTTCGCAGAAATATGTAACACAATATTATAAATTAAACCAAAACCCACATTCGAATAAACTTGATAGTTAAAACTACATTTAATATAATAATAGTGTCCACACGAGGTCCTCGAATAAACGCTATATATATATATATTGTTTTTTTTTGTAAATTCTTATTTTGTTTATTTAACTATAACCAACATTATTGTTGCGAAGTTTAACACCTTAACGTTTATGTCAATTCAATTAATGTATTGTACTAGCATATTATTATTATGATATGTACCGCGATGACTAAAAATTATATTTCAGTCCTATCAGATTCCTAATATGATTTTCTGGTTTGAACTATATTTCCAGCGCTAGAAAATGTAATTTAGAATCGTTTATAGACGTTTAATATCCCTGGCGACACAGATTTATTTTTTGTAATTTTCGTTCAGTTTGTCGGGTTAAACATTTTGATGAACGGGAACACATTTAGCGCCAACACCAAATATCCTGGGATTACATATTATATTTTAAAAACGGAAAACCAACTTTGGCTGATATTAAATAAGATTTTCGGAGAAAAATCTCGTTTATACGTTTCCGCAATCGCAACGAATAAATAATACTGTACACTTGAAGTTACAAATGCGCAGGGAAATCAAAATACATAGCACCCTGTGAGCTGTATATTTATTGCAGGTGGCGTAGTTGTGGATTATTTTGGTAAGTAATTATGAATAGCAATTAATAAGTACCAGATATTATTTTTGTTATTCTATATTTGAAAAAAAAAATATTGAAATCATTTAGACTGAAGTAAAAATAGTATATACGCAGAGATTTCCATAGATTACTTACGTTGTTGTAAGTTTAAATTGTATGTAATTCAAAGAAATACTGAATACCACTAAAAAAGAAAAGGAAAACGTCCAATTGTCAGGTACTTTAGATACCTTACTCCTGCCACTTCAGTACCACCTGGTAAGAGGGATGGAAAAGGAGGTTTTATATTTTCTTGTTAACAGGATCGAGTTTTGCTAATTATCGCCTTTCAAGGCGTTGGGCCACATTAAAACAATAATTGTGTTCAACGACAGGACGATTTGGCGATGGTATTTGCACGAAGAAAAGGCAAACTTTATAATTATGTTTTAGACCATTGTAAGACAATAGTTTTTTTTTCAAACAAAAAGTTTTCCGGGCATTTTGTTGCTTTGTGTTATCTAGAATTTCGAATTACACTTTCGAAAATTAATTAAAAATAATTAAAAAATGATTCAACAAAATATGTCTTAAGATTTAGCAACAGTTATTTTATGCATTTTTGATACTATAATAAACGTATACTTTTCGCGATTAATCTAAATAATAAATACATAGGAATATTATTTACATTTTATTTAAATAGTAAAACGAAAAAAAACCTATAACACATTTATATTGTCAAGGTCTTAACAAAAAAAAAAAATAGATATTTAATGTAAGTATGTTTTATAGTGATGCGAAAAATGTCAAATATGAAATAAAATATTGCATTTTACTTCGTTATTTATATTATTACATAAAGTTCTTCAAAGAATATAAATTAATTCCCTTTTTTTATTATGTTAGGCATTCAGGTAATTACAATTATGTAGTTTTTCTTTTTGAACACATTTGTATTGGTTATTAACTAGTCAACATTTTCAGCAAATTATTCTTATTTTAATAAGTTTTTTTAAAAACATAAACTGCTACTTTTATGTTTTTTAGTTAAAATTAAAATAAAAACAAATATTATTTAGTGTATAATCTGGTCATCTGCACTATTATTGCAGCAATCATGTAATGATATCATCAGTGTCAAATGTACTACTAATAGTATTTACAAAGCATTGAACGACCTAAATTCGCTAAACTACCTTTCTAATATGGTGAGTTCTGCAATTTTTATATAATATATATTCATTAAAAATAACACCTAATTTAATTTTAAATTATTATTTATTAAAAAATTGTCATAACTCGAAGGCAGTGAAGTATTAAATTTGAATTTATTATATAGTCAGAATAAAATCGTAAAATGTTTTAATACTTAAATCTTTTTTTTTTTGCATTCTGAAATTATATTTTATTGTGTGTTTGGTATAAGTACCATAATATTATTGCGAGTACGAAGATATTAAATAAAGTTTACAGACATGGTGTGTTGTCCGGTGTTTATGGCACATAGCTTGGTTAATAAAGACGGTAGAAATAAAATTACTGGTTTGATTAAGGAGATTAAGGAGAACTAATTAAATTCCTCCAAAATTACTAGCAGAAAAAAGTTCGTTTATCTGATATATATAAAAAATTATAAATGTTGAGTAGTTCAACACTATACCGATCATTTTAATGTGTTTCATGTATTTTGTTTAACTCTTCAAATTATTATGTTTTTTTTTTTTTAATTTCTATTTTGTGACTTTTATTGTAGTCTATAAACAACAATAAACAGAATTGAACAGCATTATGATTAGGATATTAAAGCTAGTGAATTTAGTCACGTAAGTAATAGCTTAACGTTTTCGATGTACTAGATTTCTCTAGATAGTATAATACTG